CCGCTTTTCCGTGACATCGACCCCTAAACATGCAAGTGCTTCAGAGAGGGCTATATTTAATCCTGTAGGTGGCCCCGACCAACGCAGTTTGAAGTACCACTAAACAGAAGGTTGAGCAGCCGCCTCAGCTACCTACGAAGTCCTATCCTGGGAGAAAATTGATTATCCATCGGAGATGAGATAGCTAAATAATGCTGGATAATCACACCGCCTATACGTTAAAAGTTGTTTGTGGACGCAAAACACGCGATACAAACACGATTCGAAAGTAAATAACTAGTTTACATGCGCGAGCCCGCTCCATGGGTCGCCAAACTGATTCTTCCCAAGGAAGGGCTTTCGCCCTTCGAAAATCGCATAACTAGAGCGCTCTTCCTCGATCTATCTATGATGCATGGACGTGCAGCATATCTGTTTTGATGTCACACATTTCCAGACAGACATCGTAATCGGTTCGATATTTATATTTCTACTTTACAGGGTGTGGCAGTCGAGCCGATCGAGTTACTCCTGTAATGGAATGGGGGAACTGTTTCAGTCACGCGGAATTACTTTGTCTCCGGATGTTCATTCCTAGGACCTTTTTCACACATAGCTGAACAATATATGCGCCGATGTAAGGCAGACCAATTGGTTCGTAGTCGAGATCATCTGCGACGGCTACAGTAACTGATCTTCTGAAATCCTGGGCTCGGTGTTTGGATGTAAGAGATGTTTGCGTAACAGACTTTTGAATGGAAATAATTATATAAAGTCTGTTTTATTATTTTTATTGGATAAAAACCGTTCACTTATGAACGACTGATTTAATGTCTGTTTGAAGAATGGAAAACTAGGACGCTTGCTGATATCTAACAATTTTACTACTATGTTGAACATATTTGGCCATTTTCTCTTGCAATATTATACTTAAAGCAATACAAGAGGAAAAAGTCCAACTATGTCTTACTTTGAGCTAAAGTTTTGGATTTTGCGTTTGCATATGATCAAGCGCTCTGTTTCCAAGAAAGCAAAAGCAGATTCAGCTTCAAAAATTCCGTTCTGTATATTTATAAAACTCTAACCTTAAACGGTTTCCTGTAATAAATATGTCAGAGTACATTTTGTCTGTATTCAACTATAAACAGATATGGAAATGAATGGTCGAAGAGCTGACGCGTGGAGTTTGAGCTGATTTTTAAGATAGTATTGCCGGAAAAGACAAGAGAGACTGAAATGACCACTTCTGCCTTATTAGCCATGATGCACCAACTGAGGCTCGAACTCGCGACCTTTTTAATCAGTGTCTAACCCTCTGACCATTGAGACACGAGCTCCTTGTCTTGCGAGTTTAGGTCGAGAGATATTGGACTCATTGATGAACGTTCAGCGACCGATAATGTTGGATAGATTACTAGCCGCTACGGCTGCTATAAGGGCCCGAGAATTGAGGCCCAAGGCAGAACGCAACAAGTGAATTCCTTCGATGAGTCTTCATCGACGAATGTCAAATTCATTTTCGGCTGGATATTATTGATAGAATTGTACCTAAAAATTATTAGGGCAAAGCACAGCGGTTCACGCGCGAAATGATGATTGCTTGCGCTAACCACTAAAGACAATTCACTGGGACAATTTTTCAATATTTCCTCCAGCCATAGTAGACATAATAATAAAGAGATTATAATGCTACTTGTGAATGCAATTGGCAAGCTAGTTCAGGTACTTAACTTATTAGATAACGTTATTCAAGCGTAAGTTGCCCATAATTGTTAATTTTGGAAGAACATTTGACTCTGCGGCGAGGTCTTATTTCTGAAATGACAAGAATATCCTGTGAGCCGATTATAATCTCCGAGCATAATCAACCGTTTTAGTTTAAACGGGGGGCTAGTTCGGAGGTAGGCAAATCATGCCTCGACAACATAGACAAAGAAAATGGGTAGGAGTCCTCGGTAACCGATACCGAATGCACAAAATTATTTTACATAATTTTTCTCCTGTGTATTATTTTCAAAGATATACATTTAATAGCAATTGCAAATAATACAAAGCATCTTTAAACAACTATCCTCTTCGACTGTTGCCTCCAAATTATTTATTCCTGCTAATAGCCCAAACTTGAATTTCTTTTTTTCTTTCTCAAAAGAAGGACTTCCTAGTGTAGTAAAAGCTTGGTTTTATATATGCAAGAATCATGTTAACCGACCGCCGGGGAGGATTTGTGTAGTTTTTTGTCAGCCGGGCGTATATGTTTATTGCATGCGAACGGATACTCATAAAAGTACCCCAATTTTTGTGCGTCACCGGTCCATTAACTGAATTTCAGATTTTAAGACAAAAACACTTAACAAGTCAACAAATGAAACTTTACAAGGCAGGCATCCCTGTCTTTTTAAAATAAGTGTTTTTTTAAAAAAAATGGGGAGGCCAGAAAGACTGATGTTACATTAGAGGGATCTTCTTGCACATGTTCTCTTGACATTTTATGGGTTTCCCCTTATCTTACTCTGAGTTGACGGCTTGTGGGTTTCATCCATGAATGTCATTGAAATATGGCGGG